CCACCTCTTGGGTGGATGAAGATTAACTCGGATGGGGCTCGTAATGTGGATTCGGGTCAAGCAACGTGCGGCGGTGTGATCAGGACCAACGGTGGTGTTTGGCAGATGGGTTTCGCTAAATACATTGGTATATGTTCGATTTTGGAGGCTGAACTTTGGGGAGTTTATTTGGGTCTGTCGCTTGCTCGGGAGATTATCTTAGCCGAGTTTTGGTTGAGATCGATAGTATGGAAGCTCTCAAAGCAATCCGAATGGCTAGAGAGGGTATTGCTTTTTTTACGATTATTTATCATATTACAGATTTGTTGCGGCTGGAATGGATTGTGGAGCTGCAACATGTGTCTCGTGATGGTAACAAAGTAGCGGATCGCTTGGCGAAGATGGCCACTGCTGGTGTTTCGGATTTAATCGCGTTTGAAACCCCCCTTTCGAGGTTTTGTCGCTGTTGCAGGCGGATGCTGTAAGCACCGACTAAGCTGCTATGTTTTCATGTTTTACCCCCAAAAAAAAAGTAAATAAAAAATGTTTTCAAAATAATTACGTACTGGGACAATTTTCCCTTGAAAAAAGTCAATAACTTGTGCAACAAATAAACATAAAAAAAAACAAGGAAGAAACGAAAGGTGAAAATATAGAGAAATATTTACTTATGGGTGGTATTAGTAAATGTTGTTGTCGTGTATGCATTTATTTAATCTTTTGTCACAATTACCTAATAAATGCTAACAGAAATTCTATACGCTACACAAATTTTCATTGATATCCCTTGATTTTGAGTAGGGATGTTTATTGAACGGGTCTGAGATAGGTAGTATTCAATTCATATTCGTTAAAAAAATTTATTACTCAACTTGTTATTCATTAAGTTCACCGAAATTTTTACTTTATTTTTTTAAATATAGGTAAATTATAAATATTATATAGAACTTAATATAAACATAAATAAATAAATTTGACCAAAAAAATATCAAAAGAGTGTATGAAATAATTTTAAATTCTAAACTCTAAAGTAACAATCCACAAACACATTCAAATAATAAGCAAGGTTTGATTTCTGAGTGTAATAAAATATCAATTAATAATTTAATATTTTTTAATTATTTATTAGAAATTTAATAGATTAACAATTCATCATCTTTTTTATTATATATTAGTAAAATAATAATTGTTTTGAATGAAATAATTTTTTAGGATAACTACTAAAAAATTATAAATAAAAAAATTAATAAATTGTTCATGAATTTATCGAATCGAGTTGGACTTTGCTCGACTCAACTCATTAAGGTCGACTCGAGTTCTAGTTAAATCAAACCGAGTTGAGTTTTTACCGAGCTTTGACCGAGTCGAGTCTGAACTGCTCACGAGCTGCTTAACTCACTTAAGTCTTCTTTTCGATCTTTTTAAATTAATTATATGTTTAGAATTTTTTTAATCTATTAACAACACACACATATCTTATAAACTTAGATGTTGGAACTCATGTACTCTGAAAAAAATAACTTCACTTTTATCGTAAATACCACCTAATAAATTCAAGGATAAATATCAAATTAGACATGAACTTTAGTTGAATGTGCAATATGTTATACGAACTTTTTTTTATACAATTATAAATATGAAACGTTGATACCTTCCTAATTACAGGCTAAATAATACACATGAAGCATTGATTTAATTTAATTATACACATAAAATTATAATTATAATTTAATTATATTTTAAAAAATAAATATATTGAATTATTGGAATAATTTTAATGATTAAAAAAATTGTTTTCCTTTGAAAATATGAATTCGAGTATCATAAACTACACTATGAGTTTAAATATAAATATTTTTTAAAATATATTATTTTTTTATTAATTTAAATAAGTACGATCTAATACTCTATATGATTAAATATAATTCTTAATATTTTGACATTAAATCTCATACCTCTAATATTTCTAATGTATAAATTCAAAATCTTAAAAAATAATAACAATATTTTTATCACTGAAATTGTTAGGTTCGTAATATTAATTTAATTTATTTATGATCAAATTTAAATATAAATGCGCGAGGGGAAAGAATCAGAAAGCTCAAGCGGCTGAAATCAAACCCCCTTACCCTCTGCCCCTTGCACCCAAAACAATGTTCCTTTTCTTTGTTTATATGTAATTTGTAGAGAAGAAAATCATGACAACCATGGAAGACCCATCATCCAAGGAAGATAACCCAGGAGCTCTAAAGGTTCTCGAAGCTCTAAAACAAGCTTCGCACGAGTTACAAGCTAACCCAACTCGCAACCCCGCTGACTCCGACTCACCCGCCATTAAAACTCTCCTCGAGCTTGAAACCGAGTCTGATTCCATCCTCTCCAAAGACCCACATCTCTCTACTCTTTCCCGCTACATCGCTGACCTCAAAACCCTCGTCGAAACCCTTGAAAAGACTCGTGGTCATGGCCTCAGGAGCTTCTTAACACGTCGTGTCTCGACTCATTCCATTTCCCGAGTTGCCGCCTCGATCGAGTCCGAGATTCAGGCCTGGATTGACCGTGAGAACATCGAGAGCTTGTTAAAGGGATTGAAAGAACCGTGGAAGGACGAGGACGAGTTAGTTCGTTTACTGACTCAGTTCGAAGACCGAGTCTCACAAGGCTTTGATCGCGAGTTGCAGAATTTATTCCTGAAATCGAAAGCCTTCTCGGTCTTGCAGACGGTCCTTTGCGACCCGGATTGTCCAAATCGGATCAGGGAAAACGCAGCGCTTTGTGTGGCGGCTTTGATTCGATTCAACAAGGATGTCTTCGTGGGGCAAGTGAACATGGGAGATACCATTCACGCCCTTTTGGAGATGAAATCAATCCATAGCCTCAAAGTTCTACGTGAGTTGATTACATTTACTAAATCCCCATTTGTGGATGAGATACTCTGTAACGGGGAAATCCCCGAGATTTTAATTCTATTGGAATCCAAGGATTTGGACATGAAAGTTGTGGACTTCGATTGCATTCTTGAAATCGGATACTTCGGACGCAAAGAAGCTGTTGAAGCCATGCTTAAAGGAGGATTGATAAAGAAGCTTGTGGAGTTGCAGAGGTCAGAATTTGGTGGGGATTTGATTGAGATGGGAAAATTTGACGATGAGAATCAGGATACCGAGGGGAAGAAAAGAGAGAAGAGAGAAAACAAGTTTTTGAAAAAACATCCATTTGCAAGCTGTGTGGCAAGGTTTGCTGTGCAACTAGAGGTTGGGGAAGGGTTGAGACAAAGAGAGAAAAGGGCCTTTAAGCAAGAGATTTTGGAGAAAGTTAAAGAAGCATCTGTTAATGATGCGGAGGCTGCTACCATCATTGCCGAGGTTTTGTGGGGGTCTTCACCTTGATCATGTTTTGTCACAAGAATTCAGAGATGGAAAAAAGAGGAAATGGTAATTACTTTCTCCTTATTCTTCTTCTTCTTTTTAGGGGTAGATCTTTTGGTTTGGTAGATAGAAATTTGGGTATGTATTTGATGTTGTAAATGAAGGGTTTATAAAGATTGAAGAATGTGAGGTGTGGATGGCCATCACCTGGAAATTGAACTATAACCCATTGTTAAATGTGTTTTTCTTTTCCTTTTCGGATGTAAAGCTTACTTTCTGCTGCGTTTTCTTCCCAAACTTCAATCATGGAGTGGTTTGAAAATTGGTATTAAATTAAACTTTCCACTTCTTCAGATGAAAATTATGTTGGTGCCTCCCAAGGGGTACAGGAATCATTGCATGTTGTATGCTTTTTTTATATATGAATTTAGAAAAGGAAAAAACAAAAAAAAAAGATTTTTCTAATAAATCAAATCGGAACAAACGAAATAATTAAAGATTACCAGAAATCAAATTATTAATCGTTAAATTTTATATAAAGTATTTGGTCTTCACTCCGACTCCACTAAAAACATAAACGGGAGCCGAGCATGTTGCCTTAAAGCAGTAACGTCTTTTAAACATCTCTTCTCATCCTTCTAAAAGCAAGCTTTACGTAGGATCGCATAAACTTGCGACTATTCCATGCAAAGTTCCAAATTCAACACGGATGTATTACTAGGAAATTCCTTTAGCTGACCCTTCCTTGGGCATCCACTATTTTTCAATCTTTTCCGACAATGTTAAAACATCTAATTCATTAAGACTTTTCTCAACAGAAGCTCTTTCGGGTAGAGATGATAAAAATAGATAGAATCAGAAATTGAATTGAATTGAATATTTTTTAGACAGTTTATATAACACAATTTTTATTAAATTTATTTGAATTAAATTGAATTGAATTTTTATTTTTAGAATGAAAAGAATTATGTGTTACAGTAATAACCCTATGAAATGGAAGCATCTTATTAAAAGAATCGAACTAAAATGACGAATTTTCGTGACAAGAAGCCATTGATTTGATTGACGATGTTCACTGTTTAATGAATTGCGGTGGTGGGCGCCCAAACATTTCTCGGAAAGAGTCCCTCCGAGCAACTGGTTGGTTTTACTATAGACTTCGCTGAATAAAACCAAAGGGAAACTTCATATTGGAAAAGTGTTTACTGTTGATTGATGCTTTTACCATTTTCATTCGCCTGAAACACGTTCAAGTTCTTCCAACCTAAGTATAGGAATCCACGTGCAGAAACCAACAAGAAAACAAACACAATGCTCGAATTGATAATTGTTAACAAGGGCGGGCCCTATTCATCACTTACAGTATAAGAATTAATTTAGCTTTGGTTTTATCTAAGACAACGATTGTTTGAATTCTATTAACTATTACTTCCAAAATCATGACACCCTACGTCTCTTAAAGATGGAAACAAAGCAATAAAAACAAGACAAAAATACGCAACAGCTGACATCAAGTTACAGACACATGTAAGTATAAGCAGATAACTCAGATGTTAAACTCGCAATGGAGGCGGACTAAAAACCCAAAGTGACCGTTTTGATTATCCATTATAAGAATCTGGAAAAATGTTGAAGTTATTAATATTGCAGGCATTCAGTTAAGGGGGAGGTTCATGAATTTCCTTTTTGCGAAGGCTAACCACCACTTATTCGGTGTTCCATTAGGTCTATACGCGACACTCAACAGTCTCCCACTCGTCTCTTCTCTTATGTGCTTCAGATAATCCCTAAGCAGTTCTGCATTTAAGAAATCATGTCAGGTAACAGATAAACATGCTTTTCCAAATACCCAGATTTAATATTATGTCAAAAAAGAGAAGGAGATTTACCAGCTTCATTTTGAGACTGCGGAGGGTGAAAGAGCGCTGTAAAAGGGAAACCAGGTTCTCCAGGTATGGTAACATTTTCCGATCCTAAGTTAATAACTGCCTTAGTCCCCTCCGCCAAGGTTCTACAGCCCTCGAGCCTTTTTAGAGACAAGTTAATGTGGTAAGTCAAATATATAAGGAGCTTGTCTGCAGGGTTCTTAATATCAAAGTTCCGGAAGAAGACATTGGCACGAAAGAACGTGATGGCTTCATCAATAATATCAGTTTTACCTGCATACAAACAACCATCTTCCATTATCAAATCAAATAATAAGAAAAGTACATTCATGTCGTGAACAACTACCCATGATGCTGATAAAAAATATATCAGACCTTGTTCTAAAACAGGAGCAGGACCCTTCTTTTTACTTTTCAATGGAAGTAAAGGACAGCCACAGGCTTTGGTAATTCCTTCCTCGTCGACAAAACTAGAGTGATAAACCTGCCACTCAATCATTTCTAAGTCAATATGAACCAACGGTAATCATAACCAAAACTAAACCAGATTGATTCAGATACCATTTCTTTTCAATTTCTTTTGCAAACCAAGCAATTGGATTTCCCCTGATTCTGCAGAGAATGGGAAACCGTTCATTCTCTCTATAATGCATTAAAAAAAATATCAGCATGTAGATATCTCAATGTTAATAACAGGAAAAGAAATTTACCAACAAACTTCTTTGCAAATTTTTATGGTTGATCTTGAATAGAAAAAAATTACTCAGGTGGGTGTTGTTCCATACAATCATATAGTTAGAAATGGGAGAAAAATAAGGAAAATGATGGAGCAACTTACAGCCAACAAATGCTTTCAACAGCGATATTTTCCCCTGCCTAGTTCTATGCAAACTGAGCTTGACTAGTTCAATGGGCCGTAGTGCTGGCTTTCTGCCATTAGTGAAAGAAAGAGATTGAAGTTTGAAATGAATATGGTCCAACTACAAGGCCCATACCAAGAATAAAATACAAAGACTATAGATGAATCAATTACAGGACCATGTCAATAGTTTATGGAATCGCTTTAATTGTGTATATTTTGAAATTCGAATCTCTTAATAAGGAAACGATGATTTTTATAGTTTTTTTATTTCATATAACATATAATTTTAATATATCATTGAGACATGAATTGTGTTGATAATTTAAAGCTTTGGAATCATGACTGTCTATAGTTTAGGTCTATATATATATATATATATATATATATTTTAGATCATCAATTCATTTTGATTCTAATTATAGTTATACGTATATTTTAATTACGGCACCAGTCATTGTCAAGCATTCTGGCACCACTCAGCAATCAAATAGACAAAACCAACTAAGCAGGCCCAACTCACAACTTATTTTCGCTCTTACTACCTTCACCTAAGAAAAAAAACAATGAAATTATACAGCTCAGATATTTATACCATTGCCAGCTTGTAAATGTGATTGAGGCATCATTATCAATCACTTCAGGCACCCTTTTTCAACGTAATTGTCTTTGATTGAATCGTACCTTTTGTTTGCCTTACAATAAACAGTCCAATAAGGACTTTACTTTGGTTTAGAAGCAAGGGCTTGTTATACTTATGTTTGCTTTATTATATGATCGACTCTACCTTCTGAGTTATATATGATCGATTATACCGTTTAATTGATATATTTTATGTTCTATCATCTATATGATATATGGTCGGTCATGTCACCTAATTATTATTGTACACTAAAAATTTATAGAATAAAAGGCTAACTAATATCATAGAGTTAGTGTAGTATTAACGGTATATCCTAGATCCTCTATAGTAAATGTGTTGGGCTCGACTAAATTTTCAACCCCAAGTCTAACAAACTTTCTTTTTTATAGTTATAACTTAAACATCGAAGGCCAAACCAAAGAAAAAATCGAAAGCAAAACTCTCAACACTACAACATTAAAACTTACAATATTTTCAATAACCTAATTTACACACATTTTTTCAGCAGAATTATGCACTTCTTTCTTGGCGACAACTGACAAAGATCTCTAAGGCCAAAGACTAGTTCAAAATGTCAAAGCTGACACAACTTACTTAAAGAACAAATCTTAGTTACATTTGGAAGAATTTGAGGTTATCCATTAAATTAGCTTGTGATAGCGGACGTTGAGACATAAGAAATGTTAGCCAAATGCCGTCTTTGACAGGCAAGTTCATGGATATCCTTTACGATATCAAATACGGCCTCCGGCTGTGTTAGCTTAAGAGCATTCTCCGACATTCTCTTCAGCTCATCCGTCTTTATGCTGAACCATTCTGACACAATTCTAGCTGTTTCCTTTGGACTTCTGGTGAACACTCCTGCTCCATTGTCTACTACATAAGGTACATTGCCCTTTTCCTGCGGCATGGCATGAAATGAAGGGTAAAAGTTAAAACTTGAGAATAGCAAAACTATAAGGCTCCATTGATATAATAAGGCTGTTTCAACAAGAAAAGTTGGCAACTAAACCTGTCCTGGGATGTAGTCATTGAGAACAATTGGAAGCCCCCTTATCAAGGCCTCTGCAATAGTACCAGGACCAGCCTGTAATTCTATATAAACATATTAGTCTATGTACATTAAGCTAAAAAATGCATAAACACATGAAAGTTTAAATTTAAATTCATGTTCTTGCCTTTGTAATTATGCAGTCACAAGCACCCATCCATTTCTCCATCTGGGTTTCAAACCCTCTGACCTACAGTGAAGGTAAAATATGGTTTAGTTAACTATTTTCATTATGCATATTTAATGCTTACATGTGGTAAGTTAAAAAATTACCTTCACCGGGATCATCCATTCCTGGGATTCCAATGTTGAAGCAAGGCCTTTGTTTCGGCCACATATTATGATCAATTGCCCTATTGGTTTCTGTTGATTTTATCGTATAGCGATTCACTGAGTGCCATCGTTGTTTTCTAACAGGCCCCATTCCTTCACCCCCTCCCATCAGCAAAACCGTTGGCAAATCAGGATCTAACTCTAGCTCTCTTCTCAAGTCATCCTACAAAATCAAGACAAAAGAATAAACCAAAAGTCCCTCCAAGCTAATACAAGCATAGGGATTGATTGATTGTTATTATGTGTACTACAATCCTCACCTTGGAAAGAACTGCACGGGCAAATGAAGGCCGAACAGGAAGACCGAAAACCCGAACTTGGGAATCTTGAAGGCCATCATATAATGCTCTCTTGGCTACCTCTTTTGACGGGCAGTAGCATCTGTTAACTCTAGGATGAAACCTGAACCGAATTCCAATTGTTTAAAGATACTCATGTGACTTGCTATAAAGGAAATCCAGAAGTTAGAGGCTTTGATGAACTGACCATGTACGATGACAGGTATTGAGATCTGTAATTACAGTAACAAAAATCACTTTCTTTTGAAGGCCTTTCCATTTAAGAACAAGGAGTGGAATGTGTTGCATCAATGGATGAACACTAATGATAATGTCTGGCTTGTACTCCATTAAACCCCTCTCTACCTCGCTTCAATGACAACATAGTTAACATGTAATTATTAGAAACCGAGGCGACATGAATTTTTCAATTTAGTGAAACTAGAAGATGGATAAACCTACTTGGCGTAATAAGAAGCAATGGCAGCAAGATAGCTGCTATGTATCCATCTAGGAGATGTACCGTGAAAGGCGACTTTCCAGAGTTGTACATGTTTCACCATGAACTTGTAGGACCTTTCCATGTCGTTCAGTGGCCACCCTGTGTATTCTTTCCACACATCTTTCACATATATCTGAAAAAGCAGAAGATGCAATCTTATACTTCTTGAAGAATTAATTTCATAGGCAAATTCATTAACTGAGACATTAATTTATCCAAGATCTTGATGAACAGATTCAGGACTTGGTTTGAATTTGAATTTAAAAAGTAGAGGAAGGGGACGAAACATGGGAAAATCCAAGAATGAATCTTACAATAAGATAAAAGAAAAAGATAACAAGACAGAAACAAAAATAAACCAACAACAATACCAAAACATGAAAATGAAATGAGAGAATCAAGCAAATCACCCTGTATTCATCTCCAAACTCGATCCGAAAGGCGTCTCGGATAGCCTCGGCCGAAGCTCTATGGCCACCACCCGTGTCACTCATCAGAATCAGTACATTCTTGCTTCTTTCAGCACCCATCTGCATCAACTGTATGGTCCCGTCCTCATCCTCGTATTCATCTTCACTCTCGTAAGAACACCGCCTTCGATGTTTAGGGTGGTAGTTATGATGATAACAATGGCGGCCGCTATTGCTACCGCCGTAAATTCTCTGCCAGACCTTCTCTGTAATGGAAGCCACCTTTTCTGGCGTCGCTACCTTCATCACCATGGCTGCAGAATTCTAATTAAAAAAAAAAGAAAAAAAGAAAGCAAGATACCAAGAAGGACAAAAGAGTAGCCTTTGGGTGTTTAACTATTTTAACTGCCGACGACAGGAAATGGGAGTTGTCCGGTAGATATATAGAAATGTTATGGCGGAGACAGAGGTGAAAAATAATAATTGATGCTTTTAAGGTTCATGCGGAGCATAAGTTGGCAAAAGCTTGAAGTCTAATAAGGTTGTTGCAGAAGGAAAGGCGAGGGAGTTATTTTGTTTTTTTTAATTAATTGGTGAATTTTTGTAATCGTCAGATTCGCATTTTATTTTGGAATGTTCGACAACAAAGATTCGGATCTTTTTCCTATGCTCTACAATTGTGTGTTGGACTCGGTTTTTCTACATTAATTGATTGCGTCATTATTTTTTATTTTTAAAAATATAATATATTTTATAACCATTTATTCGTTATTATACATAATTAATATTGAGAGATCCTAATATTTTCGTTTAGTAAGCTAAAATGTAAATAATATTTTTTTTTTTGAAAGGTAAATAATAATAATTTAAGATTTCTATTTCAAATCACACCATAAATAAAAATAGCAATGATTTATATGTATAATATCTTAACTAGGAAGAATTATAAATGATGATACGTGTAGCAGAATCCAAGCATTGTTGAATATAGATTACTTGAACTTTCGATGGACTCTAGTTTTGGACATCTTTGTACTCAACCTTCCCTATCAGTTTTTAAAAACAATTATAATTTAAACTTATCAAGGAGCTTTAACAATAAAAGAAAATATTGATATTTCTAGAGGTTTTGAGATTGAATAACAATGTTCGCAAGATATATACTTTATTAATAATTACGATTACCTTGTAATCTATTTTATTTAAAAAAATATTATAATTTGATAATAAAAAATATGTATAAAATATATCTCAATATAATGCTTGATAGTGGGTGAATTTTACGATTTTTTTTTATTCGTATAATATCAATTTTTTAAAAATATTAACAATGAATCTGTTGTGCATGAATCCATAAGGTTGAAACAAGTTGGTGAGGAAAAATACAAAATTTTCGTTCAATATTTTGAAACTGGCTAAATACAAAATCTATATTTAAATTACTAATTATATGTTCAATCTATTTAACTCTATTAAATCCGAGGACACTCATATTTGAATTCGACAATTACTTAATGCACCCAAAAGAGAGGAAAAAATACCGACTCAAAATAATCTTAGCCGACCACAGTGGGAGTCGAACCCACGACCTTTTGATCCGAAGTCAAACGCGCTAATCCACTGCGCTATGCGGTCATGTGTTAATAAGTTCCAGTTAAATTATTAACAATATAAAATTTTAGGTTCAGCAAAACCCTACTCAATCAAAAATCAATTAAATTTAAATTTTTCAATATCAAAATATAAAAAGTTTTATACGGTGGAAATTAAAAAATGAGAAATGGACTAAATCTATCGAGGGGAGTTGACGGTGATCATCTTTGAAAATTTTAAATTCTCTTATAATTTCTTACTCTACGATAGCTGTTAATGCAACCGATAGGAAGCCCAACAAGCGCTGTAATTTCCTGGAACAACATTTCCACGGGTGCTTCTCCTGTTGATACTGTTAAGAAACGAACGAACACTGCCAAGTAAAATAGGTTCCAAAGTACAGGCATGGCATTAGCATGCCTTCTCAGTATTCAACTAGTAGAAATCTCAGCAATACAATGGTTGGTTAAGATCCTAAAGTTTCAGCTTAGATCACACCATAAAGCCTACATTCATGCCCAATTTAAGTATGTCCTATATGTTTAGAAAATTAGTATCTGTCGACTTTTGTATGTACTGTCATTCTTTCTAGTAGAAGCATCAAACTTGTGATGGCGAACCAGAACATAAGGGGCATGGCGGGTCACACCTATTCTCAAAACTTGTTCTCTGCTCCAAACAATCAGCATGATATGCATGCCCACAAACTAGAACTGCCACAATAGAGAACTCAGCAGAAGCCATCGTATTTCCAAGGAAATATGGATTCCGTCTCAGATGTTTCTGGCACATGCCACAAATCATCTTCACCTTGTCTGGTGACACTGCATCCATCACTAACAAACTAGATCGAATCCTTTCAGTTCTGCTGAAAGCTTGATGTCTACCATCTGCAGAAGTTGGAACACTAAGTTAATATGGCAGAACATAAGCATAAGACAAAAAAAATTAAGCTGCAAACACCGATGAGACTGAAAGTCAAATTAACGCTAGTTCTTTAATTTCTATCATTTATGTAATGATCTTGACAAGAATAAAAATGTAATCCCACTGTCACATGCTATGGAAACAAACAGATTCTTGACATGAAAATGAATAAAGGTGCATGTAACCTGCTTGACGTCCCGACTCTGAGTTAGACTCGGTGAACTTGAAGGATAATCTCTCATCATGCAGAGGACTAATCTTGCCACGAGAAGTTGATAGATTAGAATGGTTGCCAAAGTTCTGCCATTGGTAGTGCTGGTCATAGTAACGGCGTGATCGTTTCAAAAATGTGGAACGCCCAAGATTGTAATGGCGTCGAGCAGCAGAAGAGTTGTGATGATGTATCTTGACAGAACTATCTCCAACACCCATGCCAGCATCCAAATTCAATGAAGGCTATAAAGGAAAGTGAAAACAAAATCAATGGAACATTGCAGACCATTCAGTTGCAAATAGATAAAGAACAACTTCCAAAAAACATCGATGAAAAGAACAAAACCTCTTTCGTTAACAGCTTTGTTCCCGATGAGCACGGCATATCTTCTGCAATATTCAACAAAAAGCACAGCAATGATTCACATTCTAGTTGTTCAAATCAAAAGAAGGGGGAATTCTTAACTTTTCCTATCAGATTATAAAGCTGAAGAAAAACCAATCCTTTGCATGAAAATATTCTTCTACCGAGACCAAGATGATTAACAAAATCTAACTTCTCTTACATGTCCTAATTTAAATTCTTAAGAAACCAGAAAAAGAAAAACCCCATTTACCATTTATCTATCTAAAACAACAATTATTAACAAAATTGAAATAAATCAAGATGTGGCATACCAAAAATAAAAACATTTTCACGTACCTCAAGCTTTTAAAAGAGGGGGAAAAATTTTCAGACAGATTGAAACAAAAAATATAGAATAAAAATAAACGTACCCGAAGAAGAAGGAAGGCCAATGTAATTATGATTATGATGTTTGGACCTTGTCCTTCTCTTCCCCATTATAATGAATTACCTGAGACAGAAAAGCAGAGAAAGAAACAAAAGAAATAGCAAATTACCCAAAATTAAAAACACGGGCGAAGTTGTTTGGAGAATTTTGAAACGGGCGAGTAAACCATAACCCCCCTTCTTTTCCCTTTTTTGTGAGAATGGGAACTGTAGGGTCAGTATGATTTGCGGAAAGAAAGAGCAGAGCCGGCAATTTCCTTTGGGGCTGTTTACCTGTTACTGACGTTTCTGTTTTACGGAGATATTTTAGGGAAAATGTAAGAATCGGATGAATAAAACAGCACGTGCTTGACATGGCGTCCGTCCAACTCAATACCAGCACTAGATTCTGGCATGCGGAAAAACAAGGAGTTTTTTTTTTTTTTAAATTACTGGTGATTGATATATTTATCGATCTAACACCGATCAGACTATATTTCTTGATCTAACACTCTTTGCAGTAAGGCGCGCCACCTGCAGCGCGCTATATGTTGATTTGGCGTCATGTGGGATAAGGCGCGTTCCATGCGACGCGCCTTATGCTGACATAGATACACGTGTGTATGGCGGGGACATGTTGGTAATTAAGGGTATAGCGCGGCACAGGGGCCACGCCTTACCTGTGATTCTGACACGCGTCAAAAAGGCACGGCTCATACGGCGCGCTATACCCTTAATTATCAAATTACCCCCGCCCATTCACACCCACCATCATTCTCTATAAATACCCCATTCTCAATCACTTTCATTATACCAAATTCTCTCAACTTCTCTCAAATACTCTTATATTCTCTTATTAAGGTATAGTTTATTATATTTAATATTTTTTAGTAATTTATTTAATTATTTAATATTTTATTTAATTAATTTTTTTTGCAGATATAAAATGGAAGTCGATTTACGTTGGTTGGATGGAAATCATATATCTCGACATTTTGCTGATACAGTAACATTTTAACGTTTTATTTTATTTAATGCATGATTATTAGTTTAAAAATTAATTTGTGTAATTATTTATATTTTAGGAGAGAAACCGTATATTAGATCATTTTATTAGGAACCTTAAGTTAGTTATACCTACTCGTGTAATGCCGTATTTAGTAGAGGCTGGATTCGATCACCTAGGTAGATATCAGAGTCACTGTAAGATAGAACCAGACCTTATTTCTGCCTTAGTAATGCGGTGGAGGCCGAAGACCCACACATTCCATATTCCATACGGAGAGTGCACGATCACGTTTGATGATTTTCTATGCACTGGGGCTTCCGGTGGATGGAGGTGTGATATCAGGGATAGCTTCGGTTCTTGACTACTTTGTGTCGGGTTAGTCTAGGACGTGTCTCAGAAAATTTTAACGGTGGACGGATACCGTTAAATTGGTTATGCCAATTTTCGGGAGTTGAGCGAGGACGCGTCTGACGATGAAGTTAAACAGTATCCACGGGCATGCATACTACAGTTGATAGGAGGGTTTGATGCCGAAAATCGCGCAACCAAGTTTACTGTATGTGGTTGTAACATCTTGACGACTTTCATCTGGCAGGATCACTCAGTTGGGGCTCAATTTTGGCTTGCCTGTACAGGGATGTGTCGAGCCATTGACTACGCGTAATGCTATCGGTGGATGTCTCTGCTGCTGCAGTCTTGGACATGGTATCGATTGCCCTTTTATATCCCATTGTCAAGAACCCATTCGTATTTCCGCTACTCCTGAGGTTATTATAAAACTGATTTTGTATATTAATAATTTTATACAGTGAATAAGAAATTATTTTTCTTGAATAGGTGGTCTACTGATAGGAAAAATCATCAGGAGCTACCTGATGATTTAGAAAAAATTAGGGTGTTAATCGATCAGAAGGCTGGCACACATGTATGAATTTTAATGTTTAAAAATCGATTTTAGATTATAGTTATATAATTAGATTATTAGTTTGATAAAAATTATATATATTTATTTTAGTTTGAATGAGTGTCATATTCTACTGATGATGTGAGGGTGGTGATCTCACTTGAGTTGAGGGGCCCATCAGATGTTTAGATGGCGATGATCCCCTTGATCTGTTATGCGACCGTCGAGTGGCACTCCACTGATCGCGTGCTCCGGCAATTTGGTTGTTTTCAACCAATTCTGGAAGCACTTCGTAATATGGACGAGTTGCATAGCACAGATAGACACGACAAGATATATACAGATTGGTTGGTATCATGCATGGGTCGTGTTGTGGGATGATCGACATCGGCATCTTCCCCGTAGAGAGCCCATTTTTTGATGACCTCTTGATGGTTGCTGACGGTTATTACGAATGGTTCAACAGTAACGGGAAACCATTTCTGTTTCCCGATGATACACGAGGGCAGACCATTCCGCGACGTCGACAGAGACGTTCACCGACACAGCACCATCGTCCCCCGACTCGTGGACGGAGAACAGGTGCTTCCGGTTCATCCTCAGTTGCACCAGCAGGACCTTCACAGCATCCACCGTATCCAGCGACTTACATATCGCAGTCATATATGATGTCACCACCGCCTTTCCATTACCAGATGTCACCGCCTTCACGCTGTCATCAGATGACCCCTCCTGGAGGTTATTATGGGTCTATGTTTGCAGATCCGATTTGGGGTTCATATGCTAAATATTTGGCGGGTCCAACCTCATCACCCATGACCGCAGCACAGACACCTCATGTACAGTTTTCACACTAAGCGATGTCTGGGTTTTATGAGTTTTCCCAATTTTCGCACGCTGGTGGGATAGTTAGTCATACACCTCCAGAGTTCTTATTCTATGGAGGTGCTTCATCGTCATCGGCTCTTCATCAACCTAATGTACCTACTCAGTATGACGACGACGACGATGATGGTGATGGTGATGACAACGAGGAGTCACAACCAGCGATACGAAGAAATCCTCCTCGAGACCGACAGCCACCGCCCTGCAGAACACATTCGTGTCGCAGGCATCGATAGATTTTTTTATATTTATATTTAGTTTATTGGACTTTTTAATTGTAATTTTTTTATTTCTCATTTAATACTTACTTTATTTTGTTAAATTTGTTTGATTTTTTAATGTATTTTGTTGAAACATTTTAATATTTCGATATAACAAATTAAGTTAAATGGATTTTAAGATTTTCCAAATGATTTTCTAAGTATATTCGATATAACTATTCGAATAATCAAAACATTACTCCAAATATTTCAAAAATCATTTTTGATCCTTACTTAAGTGTAAAATTAAGTTTTAATCATAAAACAATTTCAAAATTATTTTACAAAGTATTTCGAACCAATTCAAAGCCAAATATTCCATATTGCTCAGAGGGAACCGATTCCCCCCCATAGGAGGAACCGATTCCCCCCTGAATGGTTTGGCTCCAAGATTTCCAGAATGCTCGGAGGGAACCAATTCCCCCAAATGGGGTACCGATTCCCCCCTGTTCAACGGTCGAAATATTTGAATTTTACACTTAGGGAACCGATTCCCTATGAGAGGGAACGATTCCCCCCACGCTCCAAGATGTTTTATTAAATGTTTTCACACTAAAACGGCTATAATATCTTCTCTAATTATCCCCAACGTTCAGAAGTGATCCAAGGTGTATTTAAGCAAGCTTAGAAGCCATTGATCAGTAACAAGAAACATCAAGCAACTAGAATCAAGAGAGAATCAAAGAGAAAGCATCAAACCTCAAGTTTGAGCATTTCAAAACCCATTTTCATTCAATATTCATTTGCTTTCAAGAACTTTTTGTGCTCAATTGTATTCATCTTTGAGTGTTCTTTTCTTTGTTCTAGAATTGTGCAAACATCTTACCTTGTGAGGTTTTCTTGTAAGTTTGCAAATTTGTAATCTTCTCTTTGAGAAAAGAGTGTTCTCAAGAGTTGGGTATACTCTTGAGGGAATTGTAAGGTTATCTTTGGCTTCAAAAGAAAGAACAAATTAGTGAATTTGTTGGAAAATCCTTAGTGTGGATAGCTAAGGTAGTGGACGTAGACTTTGTTTGAGAAAGTCGAACCACTGTAAATCGCTGTGCAATTATTTTCAATTTTCTGCAAAAGCTTCCACAATTTTTTTTTGCCAATTCAACCCCCTCTGGCCAATTTCGTCATTCGATTAACTCAACAATTGGCATCAGAGCCTAACTCATTTGAAGGTTTAATCGCCTCTTGAGTCGATCCGGGAAGTTACATCGATTACAAAGTCATCAATGGCCTCCACTTCAAACTTTGACTCCGGTCTCGATCGATGCCCGTCACAAGCCTCCTTTCTTCAATGGAGCTAACTACGCCTATTGGAAATAGAATGATGTACTTCATTCAAGCAAGTGACATGGGAGCATGGAATACAGTAGAAGAATGATACATTAAGCCTATCACTCATCCAAGGTTGGAGTGAAGGAGATACTAAACTGTTCCAGCTCAACTCCAAAGCCATCCATATTATCTTTTGTGCTCTTGGACCAGAATACGGAAGAGTTTCATCGTGTACAACCGCCAAAGAATATGGGACAAGCTTCAAGTCACACATGAAGGTACCGATGAGGTAAAGAAATCAAAATTAGTATTCTAACGCATAGCTATGAAAATTTTAGGATGAAACCAAATGAAGACATCAAAGCTATGACGGATAGATTTTCAACGATTGTCAATGGTCTCAATCATATGGAGAGATCATCTCAAATGAAAAGCTTGTGAGGAAGTTAGTCTACCCCCAAAATCATGGCAATCAAAGAAGACGGCAATCATCGAGCTAAGGACCTATCGTCCTTAACTCTTGAAGAACTTATCGGTTCACTCTCATCATGAGATGATGCTTGAAGATGAGGTGGACCTTGATAAGTTGAAGAGACACCAAAGGAGAAGGAGAAGAAGAAAAACATTGGAGTTGCTCTCAAATCCACAAAGATGAGAGTGATTCTAATGATGATGATGATGACGAGGAAATGGCATTGTTTGCCAAACGGTTCAGAAAAATGATGAGACCTTACAAGGAAGAAAATTCAAACGAAACGAAGGCCTCAAAAATGAACCAAAAGAGAATGACCCAATCATTTGCTATGAATGCAAAAGCCGGGGCATGTCAATATGATTGCCCACAATTGAAGAAAAAGGGTCAATCAAAGAATAGCACAAGGCTCATGTGGCTACATGGAGCGATAGAAGGTTCCGATGAAGAGGAACAAGAAGTAGCAAACTTGTGCTTGATGGCATTCGGGGAA